ACATTCTGCTGAAATTTTGTGATTTGTATAGTACTGCTTGGACTTTGAAGAAGGGGACATACCCCGAAAGCTTGTCCTCAAAATTGTATGTTAGTGCAAATAAAAAAAGTATCACAGACAGTATTCAATTGTTTCTGTATAAAACATTTAACAATGGAGAGCACACGGACTGTAACTGCTGAGATTTCACACAAGTTGACCAAACTTTGAGGGTAAATTTCATAGATTCAAGCAATGAGGGGAGGGGAGACAGAGTTGATGTATGATGAAAAGGGCGTAGCAATGAACATGTATGGATCAGATAAATATAGCCTAATTCAATCTCCGCCCATCTGTTCTGAGGTTTTTGGGTGAACCATGATAGCGTTTGTCTCAAATGAGTGGCTAAATAGTAATTGGTAATATCTGGTACCCCTAGGCCTCCATTATTTCTAGATGACAAAAGAACCGTTCTCGCTTTTCTGGGCTTTCTGGCATGCCAAATAAATCTAAGAAATGCTCGTAGAGTTTGAAGTTGAGCATGAGGGATCGCGATTGGTAGAGTCTCAAAAAGGTAAAGTAGCTTTGGCAAAATTGACATCTTTAGCACATTTACTCTACCCAGGAAAGATATCTTATAAGCATCCCACTGATTTATTAGAGCCTAGATCTCCCGAAACAGTGGGGGGTAGTTAGTTTCAAACAACTCAGCATAAGTTGGGGTTATATGGATACCAAGGTATTTAATAGATGACATGCACCAGTGGTATGAGTAATTTTGTTGGAGCAGTGAGAGATCTTGGGATCAAATAATAAGGGGCATAGCTTCCGTCTTGGAAGTGTTTATTTTATAGCCAGATAAATCACTATAAGTTTGTAAAAGTTTATGCAATGCGGGTAGTGACAAGTGAGGCTTAGTTATAGTCAATAGAACGTCATCTGCAAAAAGAGAGAGTTTATATTCCTTTCCCTTAACAGTCACTCCCGCTATGTAAGGGTGTGCTCTAATTGCTACTGCTAATGGTTGAAGACATAACACAAATAGGAGCGAGGACAGAGGGCATCCCTGTCTAGTTTCGTTGAGCATGGGAAAAGTGTCGGATGTGGCATAGGGAAGCTTACCCTGTGTAGTAGGCCGTGAATACAGCGCCGTAATAGCATTAAAAAAATGGCCCTTGTATTCCCACATGTCGCAGTAATTCAAACATATATGACGTGTCTTGTTTTTGGATCTTACCGGTGTCTGCAACTTGTAAGTAGTGTTTGCTGCTCTAGGTTTGGGTAGGGGTAGTGGTAAGGCTTCATGCGGGAAAAGAGGTAGGCCTAGGTTACACAGAAACGCTTCTCCATCTTGAAGATCTTTGATTGTATGTTGAGTACCATCCTTGGTTACTGTTAATCTGAATGGAAAGCCCCATCTGTATATAATGTGATGCTTCTGTAGGTGGAGAATAAGTGGACGAAGTGTACGTCTCTTAGACCATGTGATAGGGGATAGATCACTATAGATTTGAATTTTCCCCCTCTGAAATCAATCAAGGCGGTGTTACGTGTGGAATTCAGCAAAAACTCCTTGCTATCATAGTACTGAAACCAGACAATAATGTCTCGGTCTCACACCCAGTGGTGGTTTTGGGGCAAGAGAGCGGTGGGCCCTGTCCATTCGCCAATCTATGTACAGAACCACTGGGGTCAATACAGTGAACAGACTTCAGATAATCTTGCAGATCAACTTCTACAGATTCTGGAACGCCATGTATGCGGAGATTTTGTCTCCGCTCCCTATTCTCCAAATATTGAAGGGATTGTAACTGGGACATCTGTTGTTTGAAAATGTGGTTATCTTCCTCCAGTACATGTACATACTGCACCAAATTATCAAATTGTCTGTACATTCTTACACCAATGCTATCTCCCCTCTGAGTTCCTGTGCTATTTTCCTCACTGCCACAGATATATAGTATGGGACAGACTTTGCAGAAGGTGGTGTAACTTATCATCTAGAATGTCTGCCGTGAGATATGGAATAGGGGAAGGGGGAGACAAAGTAGAGTGGTGTATTACCTCTGCTTCACGACCTGACGGATCATCTAGTTCTGCCATCGGGGTTGCGTGATCACTCGAGGCCAGGGATGCGGCCCACGACTATACTTATGCATATGTGTAGGCCTCAATTGCTTGGAGGGTACTTCTGATGCCCGATTTTGCCCATGGGGATCTATAGACAAAACTGAGTCTGGAACTGATGCTCCTCTGCATCAGTGAGCTATCGTGAGCTCTGGAGGAGCTGGAAGAGAGAACAGTGAAGCGCAGCGGTATTAGTGTGCGACCGCCATCTTCAACCTCCACGCATGTGCCCTGTTCAAACTGTTTAACTGAATACAAGAATGCATTTATAACATATCTATTGGGTATAAAAAAACACTTTCTCTCTGAGCACTTTAGACAGGTCCATAAGAAGGATCCGACTGGCCTTCAGTTCTGGGGGATTGAGAAGTATGAGACATTGGAGGGGTTCTGATAAAATTAAGGTTCTGAATTAAAAAGAAGCAAAGTGGATTTATTTTATGAAGACTTTGGCTCCTTTGGGATTAAATCTAGATTTTGATTAAATTGTTTTATGGAAGATTTTTATTTATAATTATTCAGGGTCTGAACATTTATTTTAGGGTCATTAATTTTTGTGCTGAGGGAGTTATATACTTTTTGGCCAATAGATGGCATTATTCACATTTATGTGTTTTTATACATTTTATATGGGTAATAAATTATTATTTATAGTGTTGTTTTTTTGGCATTTGCTGAATTAATAAGTAGATTATTTGAAGATATGTATGTAAAAGAATGGATATTCATGATAGTCATGTGAAGTGGCGATTTCAAGCAGTATGATCATGGGCCCTATTTTTATCTTATATTTATTATTCATTTATTAGTTATAAATACTTTTTTACTGGGTCACTTATAAAGGTTCTGCCCCTGGGGATTGCTTTTTGGGTTTTTTGTTACCTGTGAACTAATTTTGTTTCTTTTTGATCTTGATTCGTTTTTGGTCTTCTTGAAAATGGCTCAGAGAGTAGTAGGTATTTGTTTGTATTTGGTTTGGCCTCTACATTTTGAGCCTAGGCAAAATGGATGCCATTACTCTGAAATTACCATCTCTTGATGTTGGCACTATTTTTTCTATGATTAAGTCACTGATCACGTGACAAAACGCATCAGACAGGGCCACGAGACGTCATTATGCCCGGAAGTGTGAGTTTGGTCATTTTAGACACTACTCCAGGGATCAAATTAAAAAAGAAGAAAAAAGCGCCACTTACAAAAAACACCAAAGTGTCAGCAGCATATCCCACCCAAAATAAATTTTGGCAACAATAATCCAAATTAAAAGGTATGCGCTAATAACAAACTTATACAAAAGTGTATGTCATCATCCAGAAAACATTAGTGTTTTAAATAAATTAGAGTGTCCAAACATAAATTAGTGTCCAAAAAAATATATATATCTTCAGTGACTTGAACCAATTGTGAGAAATCCACCACCAAAGGAGATTAAATGAACTCACCAGAGCTAATGGCTGGTCAGATTATAAACCAGCAACAGCGCTTGTGCTCTGGGAGCAATGAACCCGATGTCCAAATAGATATGGTTTGATGTTTCAGATACTTCCAGATAATAATCACAGCCAAACAACTTTGCAGCCCAAGCTCTTATGATGAACTTCTCCACTCTGTCTCATACCTCCATGAGAGCATGCAGTACACTCAGGGACAAAAAAGAGAACATAATGGTGCAATACGTTTTTTTCATTTATCTCTTTAATAAAAAAGGTATAAGGAAACTCACAAACAAGGTGTCCAACAGACACCAGCTTCAATCGCAAAAAAGGGTTGAGATACAGTTAACGCTCACCGCAGATCTCTCCCATACAGCACAGACCAGCAAGGCTCTCTAACATCCACATCAAATAGGCTACGCCCAACCGGTTTCGTCACACCGACGTCATCAAGGGGCACATGATCAGGAGGGCCAATCGGAGAGCGGATCTCCTGATCTGTGATCCTCTGTGTCCGAGAAACACAGCAATTACAGGATTGCACTGCTGTGTGGCTCAGAGGAGTGGGGGGATATACAGGCACATCCTCTCAGATCAGCACTTGTTCCACCTGACCGTTTTTAAGTGCAGCGGCCAGGTGAGAAGCGATTACAGGAGAAGTGTGGGCTACATACTCACCTCCCTGCTGCAGTATTGGTTTGATGCTGCAGCTTCTCCCCCCATGTTCTTAGAGCCTGAGCAAGCTGTCAACTGGCATCTGGGTAGATCTGAGCATTTTTGTCGGGATCCTTCCAAAGCCTGGAGCAGCTTTGTGACAGATGTTTTTGGGTTACAATAAAGCACAGTAAGTGCACTCCTGTATTTAGGGTTCAACATGTAACATGTTTCAGTTTCTGCCCTCTCCCCGCCCATTTTTGGAATGTGGTGTGCACTAATTGAGTTTATCTCTCTGCTGCTGCTGCTACTCCTTCTCATCAGTCTATCTTTCTGTTACAAGTTTATGGTGTAAGGAGCTTCAAGTTGCTCTCTCTAAATTTTGAGCCCTTTTTTTTCCCTTTGTTACATGGGCCTGTTAGAGGTTTATTTTCTGTGTTGTCCAACCCTCTGTTTTTGGACATGCCATGGTTAACACTGAAGTCCTGTGTCCTGTGCTGTACGATCAAAGAAATAGAAGTTTTGACCTATCTGTAAAACTCTCTTCTCGGGGTACAGTACTGGACCCAGGTCCCTCTTCTTGGTGATCTTCCTACTGCTTTGTAGAAAATCAATGTTTGCTGGGGCTTTTTAGGATAGTGTGTCTGCATCTTTATTTTGTCAGTGTCCAGTAGCTGCATATAACCCATGCTTATGACTAAAGTCCTGTGCCCTGAGCTCTACACTAAGAAAAGGATTTTACAGGTAAATTCTAAATTCTGTTTTCTCTACAGTGACTAAAAATACTATAATATTATATTATTTCAGCTGATTTCCCAGGATGAAGCGGATCGAAGAGGGAAGGTCTATGATAAATACATGTCAAGCTTTTTGTTCAATCTTAACAATGGTAAGATGTATTCTAATCTAGAAGGGGGAAAACTTGCATTGTTGCTGCAAATGTTGCTTTGGCCCATGCTAGTTATAGAATATTCTGTTTAATTAAACCTGCAAAATCCTGTGCTGTGCTCCTCATGTTGATGGAGGGTCCTTGACCACATTTCATCAATGCAGAAGAGTCCTGTTAGAGGTAAGGACAGCCTTTTTTGCTAAACTCCAACCTCTTCATCTCTTTGCTAACTGGATGATGCAGAAAGCTGCACTTACTCTTGGCATCAGTGAAGAGGTGGTATGAATAATCCTAGATAGATAGATAGATAGATAGATAGATAGATAGATAGATAGATATGCCCTTTAAGTGATTTACATGTTTATAAATAGTGAGTATATTGAGGATTGGGGGTGGATGTGGAATTAGAGAGTTTACCATTTAATTTCTTTCCTTCATTTAGTAAAAAGGAAGTCCGGACAGCTGGATAACTGTTATTTAGAAAATTGCAGAACGGTAAAAAAAATTAAGGAGATAGCAGTGGAAGGAGCAGGGAGATCCTGGTACTCCGCTGCCATTTCCTTGATTTTTTTACCGTTTGGCAATTTTCCAGGTGAAGGTGATTTCTACAGTAGTGCGGCTGTCCAGACGTCCATTTTTTATTCATAATCAGCTCTGATCTGGGCCAACGCCTGTTCAGTGCTTTTGCGGCAGTGTGTGGCTGGCTGACCTGGAGCAGTGTTCTCTGTCTTGTTCGGTCTTCCTTGTTTTAACTATTCTTGGGCAGTTTAGGAAATGATTAGGTGAATTTTCTTTGTTTTAGTTATAAGTTTTTTTCTTTGTGTAATGAAGGCTCTGTTTTTAAGATTCTTTTTTGTCTACTTATTTTTGCTTTCAGGTAATGCCGTAAAGCTTTTTCTAAAACAAATACCTATATTCTCTTGTTTGCTTTGTGTAAAGTCTCTTGGTTTAATTTATTTTGAACTTTTTAGTTTTAGTTTATCAATTTTCACTAAATTCCTCAACAGTTTACTCTTTTGAATAAAATGCATGTGATTATGTTTTCCTATAATCTCTCCTGTACAGATTTTGTTGTGGATGCCACAAGAAAGGGAATAAAATCCGTTTTGCAAATCACTCTGTAAATCCTAACTGCTACGCTAAAGGTTTGTATTATATACTGGGAGTAGAAAAGCTATTGCTTTCCTTCCAAGTACAGTACAATGGAAGCATAGTTTCCAATATTTAAATTTTGACTACAAACTAAATTATACTAAGTGGATGTGGGTTGGATTCCCTGCTAAGTCTTTATTACTGCCTAGACACCATTGAAGAGTAGTCACCCCATCCTTATTTTGACCATGACAGACTGGGCTTGTTTTTTCACATTGTCCACGTGAAATAGGGTATGCATAAAACATTCCTTTATCTGCTGTTGAGGGACACAGAAATTCAGATACAGTCTGGTTATACTGCTGTCTACAGGAGGACTAGACACTGGCAACCGAATTACAGGCCAGCTCAATATAATACCTCATATACCTAGTATGCCTATAGTTTTTGTACTAGAGTCCTAGGAGCATGAACGTCTTTTCTTTAGTTCTGCTGACAAAAGTCTAACCATTTTGTTTTCCTAATCTTTTTTTTCCTGATTTGATTTTTTAGGTTCTTTTAAGTTCAATCACTATTCTTCAGTACATTGCAACATCAAAGGTTAAATCTATTTTCATGGAAAATAAAGCAAAAAAATAGCATATACAATTGCCACATAAGCCATGTTGTACTTTAATGCTGTTAAAAATTACCTTTCTATTTCAGTCTGCAGCACTGTAAATTTCTGTAAAATTCAGGTCTTGCTTGTGTGATTGAATCACTGATTTTCCAGGTTTTAGCCCCTCCTTGTAACAGAAATGTTATCTTTTTAGGCGATACTCCATAAGGTTTATTTACTTCTGAAGGGTTGCAGACATTGCAACTTTGCTCATCAAAACACTGTGAGAGCATTAACTAAACATAATGAGCCAGTCACTCACATTCAGAATCCGAAGAACAGCTATTTTTTTTAGAGCAGCAACAGGTAGGAATCTGCAGCAGAATATGTTAAAATTCTTAAAGCGTATGCTAATCACCCAGAGGGGATTGTATATTTTTGTTTTTTTTTTTAAAGTGGAGTTACTCCTTAAACTACCGTGTTTCCCCGAAAATAAGACACTGTCTTATATTAATTTTAGGTTAAAAAAATGCACTGGGGCTTATTTTCGAGTAGGTCTTATGTTTATATCTCTCTCTGCCCTATCTCTCTGCCCTCTCTCTTTGCCCTCTCTCTCTCTCTGCCCTCTCTCTCTGCCCTCTCTCTCTGCCCTCTCTCTCTGCCCTCTCTCTCTGCCTTCTCTCTCTCTCTCTGCCTTCTCTCTCTCTGCCTTGTCCCTCTCTGCGCTCTCTCTCTCTGCCCCCCCCCTCTCTCTCTGCCTCTCTCTCTGCCCCTCTCTCTTTGCTCTCTCTCTCTCTGCCTTCTCTCTCTCTGCCTTCTTTCTCCCCCCTCCTCCTACATGAAGCTGCAGTGCTGTCACCAGGAACAGGTGATTACATACTTACCTGCTGCATACTCTGCCTGCCCCTTCAGCACTCCGTCTTCAGCACCCGTGGCAGGGATGTGGACCCGCCCCTCTGCTGAAACTCTGAGGAGGAGAGGTGTCTGCAGTGCCTGCCTCACTGTCCGTCCCCTCAATGCCTGCTTATTTCAGAAGCAGCACATACAGGGACGGACTGAGCCTCTCATGGGGCCCTGCAGTGACCCCGGGTCCGCAGGCAGTGCCCGAATGGTCAGTTCTCCCCTGGTGGAGGTAGGTCTTATTTTCAGGGGAGGGCTTATATTAGCGGTACGACAAAAAGTACCACTAGGGCTTACTTTTGGGGTAGGTCTTATTTTCGGGGAAACACGGTAGTCTCCCCCTGCTACGCCTACTTTGCAAAGCACCACATGGAACTCTTATCTCTGGTATGTTTTTACTATCCGCCTTCAGTGACCTGGTCAACTTGAGCTCTCATCAGTGGTGTGGGAGCACCTGAGGCTTTACGTCATGTTTTTTGCCTAATTGCATCACCACCACACGGTCGCAACATGTCTGTTCATAGACACAGAGGATACGGTCTCTCTGCTTTGGGTGACTCCAGCCCATTCTCCCTAATTGTTCTGAAGGCACTGATGCCAGCAATCTGAAATCCAGTGGTCCTGTAGTTATAGGTTCTACAACCTAAGAGTCTCCTTCAGCAATGTTAGGTGAGGCTGAATCCCATACCTTGTCATCAGATGTCTCTACTGCCATCACTCAAGGCTTTGTTGCCAAATTAACTTACCGTAATTCCTCATGGATAATGACCACAGAGGGCCAGGGCCATATCCTGTGTAGTCTATATTTGAACTTCCTGAGGCCTTAAAACAGGCAATGGCACCGGTCGCTGTGACCATCTCGGATTCAAAATCCCAATAGTCTATCTGTGAACCGACTGTTATTGAGGCACCACAGTGTAGCCTCAAAATTACAAGAGGTAGATCTGGCCCTTAATGATGCAGTACACATTACCCTGCATTTTGAGGATCAGCCTTCTGTCTCCAGCCTTGGGGCTTTCACCGCATCTACAGCTGCAAAGACCTTTCTGTTACACCTGTTATTTGAAATATTCCTCCATGCAGACTGGAAGCAGTCTGAAAAGTCATTGGCCTATCTGAAACTATTCCCCTTTGAGAGGGGATTTGTTAAACTGTGGTATATACCCACTAAGGATCTTCCAATGACTCACATTAACAGGAATACTACTAGACATGTAGAGGGTGAGCTTAATCCTAAAATATTATTAAACCCAAATGCAAACATTTCTTATATTGCAGCTTACCATTTCTTAGATGCGATGACTGCATTAGTTTTCTTTTTTAGGCTTTCTTTCCTTTACTTTCACCTGCTGATCTAGACTGTAAATATGTTGTTCTTCTTGTTCAAAATGTTTTTTTTACTAGAAAGCCAAGGGTCTAACATCCACCATTAAACCAATAATGTTATAAAGTGTGGTTGAATACAAAAGTTCACAGAGCAAATTGCTAATTCAAAATGCTCAGTAATACTTAATTGTATAGTACATCAACATAACATAAACAGAAAAACTGTGGTAGCAGGGAAAACACAGGTGGGGGGGATAGAGGTCCCAGTGATATGCTTAAGAATTCCAGATGAGTTCCAACCTAGTGTGAGCATTCAGTAGACTGGATCAGGTCTCAAGCAGAGATTTGTCGAGTCCTGAGGATAGAAAGTGGGACACCAAAGAACGCCACAATTTGGTGTAGGTTGGCAGTCTGATAAAGTGATTTCTATTTTACTGTGAATCATGACCTTCTTGAACCTGTTCTTTGTTTCAACAATACACAACTTAGGAATTTTCCAGGCCTTTGCTAGTGTCTGTCTAGCAGTCTTAGTGACCTACAAGAAAAGTTTGAACTGCCATTTTGGGAAGCTCATAAGCATTCCTGTTAAGGAGCAGTACCGTAGGCTCAGGGACAGGGGATCTATCAAATAGTGTAGAAAGGATCTAAAGCACTTTGCACAGTCCAAAACTTGCATACTAGTAGACAAGTCCACCAGATATGGAGGTTTGTGTCTGTCTTCCCACAACCCCTGAAACAGGTAGGTAAATAGATGGGAACAAATTTAGAGATCGGTGCAGGGACCAGATACCACCACAAGACTACCTCGAAATAATTTTTGATAGGAGCCGCGGTCTAGGAACAGGACTTGGTGGCCTCCCAGATATCCTCCAGTACTTGGGTTTCAGAGTTACATTGAGGTCAGCTGCCTACATATGTATGTATGATGGAGGATATGGGTAGGTCTTATTGATGATATGGATATACAATCTGGAAATAAGGCCTGGGGAATGAAAGTCTTTCCTGCACATGCCTTTGAAAAGCAAAATGTTGTCTAGGGATGATTGTGTTTCTAAGAAAGAGAGGTAAGTGTTTTGACCTGAAGGTACCTAAATAGCTCTGAACGGTGAAGGTTACAATCCTGCTGAAGAGTAGTAAATGGTAGAATCCCTGTGGGGCCAGCAAATTGATACAGTGCTTTGAAAAAGTATTCATACCCCTTAAAATTTTTCACATTTTGTCATGTTACAACCAAAAATGTAGATGTATTTTATTGAGATTCTATGTGATAGACCAACACAAAGTGGCACATAATTGTGAAGTGGAAGGAAAATGATAAATGTTTTTTACATTTTTTTACAAATAAAATATCTGAAAAGGCATTTTTCAAGGCACTGTATAAGCAAGTAAGGTGCAATGTGGACCTGGAAGTGAAAGCATGTGGTGTTTCAGTTTCTGGGAAAAATAACAGGTGGCATAGAAAAGATAGCATTGGGCAGTGGAGGGACGTAAGGAAAAACCTAGATTTCAAGCAATCCCATATGCGTAAAGCTGAGAGTAATAAGATTTGCCAAGCACAAGCTCAGAGGAGGATTAAGTCGTAGGATATTATCAATAGCGAGTGGATCACAATCCATTGCCTCAATACCAACCCAGAGCAGGGTTTCCCATGTAGCATGATATTTGGTCAGGTGAACTAACTATGAGGCATAATAACTGGTGAAATGCACAGAACTAGGCACTTATAGGACATGAAAAAGATATAGAACTTTAGGTAGCAAGGTCATCTTGACCACGGTCACTCTTCTGAGCCAAGAGATACAAAGAGGACTGTCACTGAATGAAGAAAGAGGTTAGTTTGCAGAGCATTGGTGGGTAATAAGCCTGGTAAAGGGTGTCAAATGCTTTGGGAAGATTGATACCCAAAAAGGGCAAACTATAAGGCTTCCACATAAAAAGAAAATGAAGATTGAAGTTCCGGGGGGGTATGAAGTCCAGACCAGAAAATAATGCATGGTGGTGCGGAACTTGGAAGAAGATAGGGGTGGACATGAGGGAGGCCATGTCAAATTGAAGCATGCTGTCCGCAAATGGCACCAATTTGTGATTTTAAGTAGCTGATTCCCACACATTCGATATCAGGATAAAAACGTATTTTCTGTGCCAGAGGTTCAGTAGATAAGGCAAAAAAAAGGGGGGCAGACTTGCCTCCTGCCCCTTCTGATTAGGAAATAGTCAGACTTATATTGTATCCTGAATATTTCAAGTACGCTTGAGGATAGGCTTATAGAGCGGAAACCCAGCTCAGAAAGTGAGGGCCAAAACCCCAACGTTGCAAAGCATATGTCAGATAGGACCATGTTACGGTGTCAAATGCGTTTCGAATGTCTAACGGTATATGCCTTTGTTAGATGGCCTGTAAGAGCAAGGATGCCCTATTAATACTTTCGCTGACCTAATTTTGTTGTTTTTCAACAGAAAAAGCTGTCCTGCAGATTTATCAAATAGAGGATTTAGACAAACCATTTAACACTGACAGAGGTGATTGCAATGGTCAACTTTTATTCATTTACGTAAAACCTTTATCCTAAATGGAGAAAACAAAATTTGCTGTAACTGCTTATAAAATCTGCTAGTACATCTGTCCCCTTTCTTCAGGCTGACAATGCTACTGTCCAAAGGTATCTCTGTTGTTTCTTCACCCAAAATGTAGGCGTGTTACTGCCCAGATCACCAGGTGAAAGCATATAAAGAGAAAACTAATGCGGCCACCACAGTTAAGGATTGGTAAGCTGTAATATATTACATTTTTGCTTTTGTGTTTAATACCGCTTTAATTATTCTACTGAAATATTACACACAACATCCTGCTGAACAACTCAAAGAGAGTCCGTTTTGTAGATCAATCTTTTCTCGAAGAACGTAATGCCTGCATAATCTGGCTTTGTCAGGCTTCAGCATTGTAAACTGTCACGTGTGGATGGGGTTAACCAGCCTAGCTCCATGCCACCAAGGTCCAAAAACTATTTACCTCAGGCCCCTCAACATATGAAAGAGGGCTACCCCTTTCTGCTCTTTTGTGGGAGCACTGTGCTCCGGGGAAGCCTCCTCCCAGAGTTTTTTTTTTTTAATTTTAGCTTCCTCCTCTTCTATTGCAGGTCTACTTTCTGTGCAGTTTGGTTGTCTTTATGGACCAGGTAGTCCCTTATTGGAAACCTTTCTGTAGTGCTACTTTTTGACCTTTCAGAACAAGTGACTCCTTCACCATCGTGGGAACCCACCTTTGGCAGGTCTTCTGGTTGAATCTATGTTGGCCAGAGGTCTAACTAACATTTCCCCTTGTGCATACCCCTTCAGTCACTTTGAACTTGTAGGATTGGACCTCTGAGATCCCTGGTGTACTCAGGAATCTTTTTATACCCTTTGCAGGCTGTGTGTTAGCTAGTTCAGGATTTGTCCTGCAAGTCTTGCTTAGCAAAATTATTTGTCTGGCTAGACAGTCTCTTCCAGACACAGTTTTTGTCCTTTGATCAGGTGTTCAGTCATGCTTTCTTTTTCAGACTGGTTGATCTTCCTCACCTGGATCTGTTTTGATCAAAGTTTCTTCTCAGGACCTGTTCCTCTCTATGAGCTTGTCCTCAGTGCTTGCTGATCACATTAGGTTGTCAGTCTTCATGGTCGGGTTGGTTTTGGTTGATCACCTGCTCGTTAGTTCAGGATCAGTGTTCAGCTCCATGTAAAGTCATTGCCCTTTGGTAGTGAAACTATGTGCCTTCCTTCTGTATGTGTTGGTGGTTCCCCTATCTGGTATGGAACTCGGTCAAATCCAGTTGCAGATTTGGGCACTAGTCCTTAAGATGGCTCTTGGGCTGCAGGTAGTCCTCATAATTTTTTTGTTGATGTGTTGCTCACCCCTAGCCTGGACTGCTTTTGGACCTCCAGAATGTATTTGAATTCTTGTGTTCCTCAGTGGATGAGATGTGAAAATAATATTTTTGTGCTTGCTATAAAATAATTTTATTGGAGTCCATTGAGGGACACTTCTCTGTGTTTTATGTAGATGCTCTTGGTAATGCTTGCTACAAATTTCCGCATGCTGGGTTGAGGAAGGGTCATTCTAGACTGGCCTATGATTATTTTTTAATTGCCAGTGTCCAGTCCTCCCATAGGAAGCAGTGTACACTGACTGTATCCAATTTCTCCCTAAATGAAGACGAATTTTACAGTGAATACAAAAATCCTATTATTTTTGTTCTTACACACTCTCGGGTTTAATTTGAGGGTATATACATGCAAATTGGAGGAAGAGTTTAGGAATTACAGCTCTTAAGAGTAGCCATCCCCCTTTTTTCTAGGGACCAAAAGTAATGGGACAGTTGAATCAAAAGGTGTTTCTTGGCCAGGTGAGGGCTACTCCTTCCTTATTTCTTCATCAGTTAAGCAGGTAAGTGGTCTGGAGTTGATTTTAAGTGTGGCATTTGGAATCTATTGCTGTGAACCTACAGCATGCGTTCGAAAGAGCTGTATATGCAAGTGAAACAGGCCATTGTAAGGCGTCAAAAACAAAACAAATCCATCAGAGAGATAGCAGCAACATTAGGAGTGGCCAAATCAACAGTTTGGTACATTCTGAGGAAAGAAGAACGCACTGGTGAGCTCAGCAACATAAAAAGGCTTGGACGTCGATGGAAGACAACAGTGGTGGATGATCACAGGATCCTCTCTATGGTAAAGAAAAACCCATTCACAACATCCAGACAAGTGAAGGACACTCTCCAGGAGGTGGGTGTATCATTGTCAAAGTCTACAATCAAGAGAAGACTTCACAAGAGCAAATACAGAGGATTCACCGCAAGGTGCAAACCAGTCATAAGCCTGAAGAATAGAAAAGCCAGATTAGACTTTGCCTTAAAACATCTAAAAAGCCAGACCAGTTCTGGAAAAGCATTCTTTGGACGGAGGAAACTAAGATTAATCTGTACCAGAATGACGGGAAGAAAAAAGTGTGGAGAAGGCTTGGAACAGCTCCAAAGCACACAACGTCATCTGTAAAACATGGTGGAGGCAGTGTGATGGCATGGACATGCATGGCTTCCAGTGGCACTAGGTTATTGGTGTTTATTGATGATGTGACAGAAGACAGAAGCAGCAGGATGAATTCTGCAGTGTTTAGAGATATACTGTCAGCAACAATTTCAGCTAAATGCAGCAAAGTTGATTGGATGGCGCTTCACAGTACACATGGACAATGATCCAAAACATACTGCAAAAGTAACCCAGGAGCTTTTGAAGGAAAAGAAGTGGAATATTCTGCAATGGCCGAGTCAATCACCTGATCTCAACCCAATTGAGCATGCACGTCACTTGCTAAAGGCAAAACTTAATGCAGAAAGACCCACAAACATAGAACAACTGAAGATAGCTGCAGTTAGAGCCTGGCAAAGCATCAGAAAGGAGGAAACCTAGTCTTTGGTAATGTCCATGGGTTCCAGACTTCAGGCAGACATTGCCAGTAAAGGATTCTCAACAAAATAATAAAAATTACCTTTTATTTATGATTATATTCAGTTGTCCGATTTGGTCCATTAAAAAAGTGGGGGGGCTATTCTTAAGAGCTGTAATTCCTAAACCCTTCTTCCAATTTGGATGTACATACCCTCAAATGTGTCCAAATATATATGGGCCTAACTGTATATATGGGAAATTCACTTGGGTTAAAAACGCAAGTGTCTTAACTGAATACGCAAACTTGTCATCTTTGCAATGGGAAAAAGTGTTTTTGAAAAGTGACAGCTAGTACGGGGAACTTCTTCTCGTACTTCTGTCAGGGGGAGAGGGGAGCAGCAGGTGGCGGCTGCAGGATCGGGAACATGTTCCACCCTAAAAATGAAAGTGAACTTATCCTTTAACCTTCTAAAGCTGAAATCCTTTGTACAAAATGTGTAGTTTAACACCACCCCCTTACACACTACATTAAAACATTCATAAAAGAAAATAAAGACATTGTTTCCCTCCTCATTTGCACCATTTTGTTTGCTACAAACCACAAATGCTTTTTATTGTAGGATTGTGAAGTGCAATTATGGAGCTGTAGTCACCTTCTTGTCCGGCTTCCTATGCATGTAGACAACAGTTGTTACTTTTTTGTTAGACTAGTATAATTTTATGGGACTTCACTATACCCAAAAAGTGATATGTAATTATAAATGCGTGCAAGTTATCCTAGGTTGAAAGGCAGTTTTATATCCTTTATGCCACTTGAGTGCATATATAAACATTTTATTTTATACTAAAAATTATGGTTTTTTTTTTACAGTGGTCATGGTAAATGGAGATCATCGTATTGGAATATTTGCCAAACGAGCAATCCAGGCTGGGGAAGAATTGTTCTTTGACTACAGGTGAGAGCCAAATAAAGGCTACAGATTTTACCTCCATGTTTTGGCTGCTCTCATAAACATCAAAAATGAGATCATTTCAAGTTGCATGTCAGAAAAAAATACTAGTTCAAAAGACCTATTTTAACAATCTTTTTAAAAAGCAATGGAGCAAACAGTGGAGCAATAGGTTCTAGTTGCTGTCAGTCATATTTCTTGGGGGGAGGAGGGAGCAGATTATGGTAAATTAGACATCCACAGACTGATGGAGGTGTGTCAGCGGACAATTTCAAGGACAAACATTATTTCAGTGGGCTGCCTTACTGTAACATGCGATATAAGGCACGTTAACTTAAATTTTAATAAAATGATTGCTACAGAGTTAATTGGAAAGATTGGTTTATTTTATAAACCAGCATCCCAAGAAAGTTTGATACTAAGGTGACCTGTTAAGGGTATAACGTTATGAATCATTTTGCACTCTGTAGTGAATAGGGGAGGTTGAAAAATCTCTGTAATATAATATCAAGAAAAGAAAATGTATAAAATAGAACAGGCTCATCTGATTTACTGATTAATTGCCCACTTTACAATGTATAGTCTAGGCAAGAAAGGATTGGCATAGACAGTATAGATATTGATTTTTTTTCTGCTTGAGGATAAATTTTCTCCTGTAACAGTAAGTAGTATATACTGTATCTACCTTCCTAAAAATTGAAAATTCCCAAAAATATTACATGATGATGTATACAAAGAGAAATAGAGAAAAGCAGCAGTTGTAAAAAATAAATTTTTGACCATTTGTGCACCTATAAGCCCCTTGTGGACATACCTTATCACATTGCAGTGCTATTACTTTTGAATAGCACCCCAATGCACTAAAGCTACACATCTGTATTGTAGTAGACTGCAACGCACTACCACGCATTGCAGTGCATCACAATAGAAAAAGGGGTGAGGTACTGTTGTATTGGCAGCCTATTCATTTTTTTAGTGTGCTGCCTTACTGTAAGGTGCAACATAACACATTTTAACACACTGCAAAGAAGTATATGGGAGGAAAACCGTTTTTAACAAATCAGCAGAAGAAAGGGAGGAAGAAGTCAAATAGGCTGATTAGGGTTTATTAAGGATGTTATTAGACTCAAATGTTACATGACTTTTTCTTACTTGTAAGGTTGCTTTAACTGACATCATATGCAGATCAAAGAACATCCCTTCTGAATGCGGTTTGGAACAGTTCAGTGACTGCAACCACTGCTGTCATACAGGGAAAGTTCCAGCTGTCAAAGTGACAGCTATGATTTGCCAGAAAAAGCAGCCGAGGGCAGCACAGAAAGGAGAGGAACAGGGAATATGCCCAAAGTAAATTTTTTTTTTTGGCACGAGCATCATACAAATCCAATTCCAAAAGAGTTGGGACGCTGTGTAAAATCTACATAAAAACAGAATGCAATGATTTGCAAATCTCAAACCTGGAAAAGCTGGATGAATATTTTGCAAAAAATTAGGTTAATTGGCAACAGGCCAGTAACATTATTATGTATACAAAGGGCTTCTTAGAGAGTCAAAGTGTCTCCGAAGTGAAGATGGGCAGAGATTCACCAATGAAAATCTGCGTCTAAAAATTGTTGAACAATTTCAAAATAATGTTACTCAATGTAAGAATAGCAGACTTTAAATATGTCATCATCTACAGTACATAATATCAAAAAATTCTGAGAATCTGGAGAAATCTGTGTGTGCAAGAGACAAGGCCACATCAATATTGGATAACTGTGATCTTTAGGTCCTCAAATGGTACTGCATTACAAAGAGGCGTGATTCTGTGATGGGCATCACTACATGAGCTCAGGAATATTTCCAAAAGTCACTCTTTGTAAACAGTTTTTCGTGCCATCCAAAAATGCAAGCTTAAGCTCTAGCATGCAAGAAAGAAGCCATATCTGAACATGATCCAGAAATGCCTCCATCTTCTCTGGGCCAAAGCTCAATTTAAAATGGTCTGTTGCAAAATGGAAAACAGTTCTATGGTCAGACGAATCAAAATTTGACATTTTTTGGCAACCATGGACACCACGTCCTCCAGGCTTAAGAGAAGAGGGACCTTACATAGTTACATAGTTATTCTGGCTGAAAAAAGACAAAAGTCCATCCAGTTCAACCATAGAAAAAAAAATTATAATCCTATACCCACAGTTGATCCAGAGGAAGGCAAAAAAAAAAACCCCAGCAAAGCACAATGCAATTTGCCCATGCTGGGAAAAAAATTCCTTCCTGGTCCTCTGAGAGGCAATCGGATATTCCCTGGATCAACTTTACCTATAAATGTTAGTATCCAGTTATATTCTGTGTATCTAAGAAACAATCCAGGCTTTTTTGAAGCAATCCACTGAGCTGGCCAGAACCAACTCTTGATGGAGTCTATTCCACATTTTCACAGCTCTCACTGTGAAGAAACCTTTCCGTGTTTCGAGATTAAATTTCTTTTCCTCCAGACGTAAAGAGTGCCCCCTTATCCTCTGTGATCACCTCAGGGTGAATAGCTCTACACCGGGTTCATTATATGAACCACTGATGTATTTATACATGTTGATCATATCCCCCCTTAATCTACTCTTCTCAAGAAAGAATAAATTCAGTTCCTCTAATCTTTCCTTATAGCTGAGATCCTCCATGCCTTGTATCAATTTGGTTACCTTTCTCTGTACTTTCTCCAGTTCCCCAATGTTCTTTTTGTGAATTGGTGCCCAAAACTGAACTGCATATTCCAGATGAGGTATTACTAATGATTTGTACAGGGGTAATATGATATCTCTCTCTGGAGTCTATACCTCTTTTAATACAAGAGAGGAATTTGCTCACTTTAGAAACTGCAGCTTGGCATTGCATGCCATTATTAAGCTTGTGATCTACTAGAACTCCCAGATCCTTCTCCACCATTGATTCCCCCAGTTGTACCCCCCTGTTATCAGTGCTTAGTTCAAAAGCTTGCATTCTCTGATGGTATGGGGGTGCATTAGTATGTATGGAATAGAGAGCTTGCACATCTGGAAAGACACCATTATTACTGAAAGATATAGAACAGCATATGCTGCCACCCAGACAATGTCTTTTTCAGTGAAGGCCTTAGATATTTCAGCAGGACAATGCTAAACTGCATACTGCATCTATGACCACAGCATGGCTGTGTAGTAGAAGAGACCTTTCACTAACTGAAAATATTTGCCGCATCTTGAAACAAAAAATACAACAAAGATCCAGGACTGTTGAGTAGTTAGAATCCTATATCAGGCAAGAATGGGGCAACATTCGTCTCCCAAAAATCCAGCAACAGGTCTCCTCAGTTCTGAGGCGTTTAGAGAGTGTTGTTAAAAGAAAGGGGATGCTACACCGTGAAAAAATTGCCCTGTCCCAGCTTTTTTGAGGTGTTTATTTTTTCATAAAATGTTAAATTTTCTCAGTTTAAACATTTGATATGTTTTCTATTGTGAAAAAATATGGGTTTATGAGATTTTCAAATCACTGCATTCTGTTTTTATGTCGATTTTACACAGCGTCCCAATTTTTTGGGGATTGGGGTTGTACACTCAAAGTACTTAACTGATTAATGACCAATTTCAGTGGCATAAACAGGCCACATGGTACCTGTACTTACCTCTTCCAATATACACCAAGATGGCACATCCCCACTCCTACATGTAAAGTAGCTATCCTCCTTTCTACCTGAGCCAAGCTGTATATCTTCATTTTGCTGTGTGCGTTCGGTATTAAAAGACTGCTCTGTGTAGGCACATTTTACATTAGGACCAGTGTAGTGCAGTATAGAGTGTAGACTACCCCAGCATTGATTGTATGCAGTCCCCAAAGTTTCCATTCTACTAAAATGGGATCGGGTGTCTTGCATGTTTGTAGACCCTAACATCAATTTTTGCCTACTTTACTTTTCAGATATAGCCAGGCGGATGCTCTGAAGTATGTGGGTATAGAACGAGAAACGGACATTATCTAATATCCTTCCAGCACTGTTTTTGCATTATCTAACCATTCTAAGCTTTTTCTCTCTGGCACTCATAACCCCTGTGTTTGTTCTGGCACTTCATTGTGAATGTATTTGTAAGACAAAGCTAAAGTCAAAATGGATCCTCTGCAGTCATTCCGTTGGTAACTTGAAGTCTGAAAATTCTGTGCAAAACCAGTTTTGGGCACTTTGTTTTTGTCACACATTGTAATTACATGCCATGAAAGGTCTAATTGTCATCAGTTCTTCTTTCAAGGTGTGATGTAGAGTGGTGGTTAAATCTTTGTGCTATTTGTAATTTTCCTCACATATCTGCTGTCTGAAAAGGACAAAACCTAGGAATAACATGACTTAACTCTTTAACATATATTTCCTATCAAATATCACATTATCTGTAAAATTCAGTTCATGTGCTTAATAATCCAATAAAGCGAGTGAGTGCAGTCCATAAAACAAGGTGCAATGACTATTTGGTGGTGCAGGGATCATGCTGTGCTCCCCTCCTTTGTTCCCCTACTCACCAACTGGCGTTGATCCTTAAATATGAAGAGTCAAATTGCACAATTAAACCCCTCTCAAACTTGTCCCAGGCTGACTACAACATATAGTGTGTGTGTGTATATATATATTTATATATACAGTATACATCAGAGTCTGCAGAGTGAATACACTAAGGTAAAGGGGTTCACTGATGTAAGAGTGGAGTGGAGATACTGAAATAAGGAGAGACCTTTATATCCATGTCCTCGCTTACTTTAAGTTCTCCACTCGCCTCTTACATCAGTGACACAATCACTGACCTGTAATTGCCTGCAGGCTTTGGTCCTCCTCTCCCCCCAGCCCCTCCTTACAGATAAATGCAGGTTTGTTGTAAAGTCAATGTCACTAGGCATCTGACCACTACCCTCCACCGCTCAAACCTATCTCTTCTGAGCCCATGCCACGCACGTGCTCAGTGTGGAGCTGGCCGACAGCTTACGGGTAGCAGAGAAGTGTCCTTTTTTACTGGCAACACTGCTTGGGGACCCCTCCATAGTGGTGGGACACCAGGGCTCGTTTGCAAGTCCAACCCTTACGATCCTGGTAGTTCCGCCACTGTTTTAAACCCTTTTAGTGATTAAAGAGTAAATTTCTACTTATGTCAAGATACAGATTTTCAAGCCATCACCTACCATAGCTGAGCCCCCTCATGTTTCTATTTTGAGGGCATGTTGGTGGACGGCAACTTGGGTTTAGTAGGATAGGTTTCAATGTTTATTACCTAGGGTTTTGCAGCAGAAGCAACTCACCAATCCTGATGCTATTTTTTTTACAAACCAGCAATAAATTGGCATCACTGGTCTTTTAGTATCTTTTGTAGCTATAGAACATGTTATGGCGAGGGGCAGCTTCAATATTTCATAAAACCATACAAATGGATCCCTGGTGTGAAAATCATCATGTATCTCCTTTCAGCTATATATTCTTAACATATACAGTGGAGAGAGTTTTTCACATGTATTAATTGAGAACAACACTTTTATTAGCCCTTCTTAGTACTGGATCAACACAATAACAGCCTTGTTTATACTGACAGATTGCACTAATTTAGACAGAACAATCTTTTATTCTATAGTTCATATTCAGATTCTGTAATGATTTTACACTTTTTAAAGAACAATTTCAGGCATGGTATATTTTTACATAGCTGCATTTCCAGCTTGGACCAATGTAACTATGGTGGAGATTTACTAAAACAGAAGCAAGCAAAATTTGGTGCAGCTCTGCATAGAAACCAACCGTCTTCCAGATTTTATTATCAAAGCTTAATTGAACAAGCTGAAGTTAAAAGCTGATTGACTGTCATGCACAGCTGCACCAGACTCTTATGTGCTTCAGTTTTAGTAAATCCCCTATACCATACCTGGCCGATGCCCTTGGAAGCTGGAAATCACTGAAGCAGACACCACTTCTCCAGTGATCACCACTAGCTTCTGGGTCCCGTACTGAGTGGCCGGCCTGATGCATTGTGAACATTGAAGGTTGGCCATTCAGCACTGAATAAATGCAAAGCGTTCTCTGATTGGGCAAGGTTGAGAGGCAGGGTTGTTATGATTATAGCACTCTTTGCCTTATGAATAATTTTCAAGAAAGGATGGAGAGTAGGATGATTATCTCACACATTACATAGAACAACACTGTTACAGATGTAAAATAACCATGTAGGGTCCTAAGAATTTCAAGTTAGGGACGGCTAAATAAAAGCACTTGCTCTTCTCAGTTGGATTTATTATAGCATTGGATTTATTAAATGTTATGGTTTGTATGTATTTAAACAAATGTTATATGGTGTGCATAGGAAAAAAAAGATTATATATAAATATGAATCAATATATCTTCATGCTTGTGCTATTAATATGCATGGTTATGTCTTACATTTAATGTACGCAAAGCAGTATGTTATATCTAACAATTTATGCACATTAAGAAAGTCTATGAAAAATAAGTATTGTGTAAGTCTTTTTACAAGTCTAGATATTCTAGATGTTGCAAGAAGGTGTATTGTTATGTACTGTGTGGCTGCCATGTGGTTATAAAATAAACATAGTGGCTCTTGGACATGTTGCCTGTGCCTAAAAGCTTGGTGTTTCTCTTTCTTCTTGTCCATGAACAGAAAGGTCTTGACCTGAAATGAAATGTTTGTTCTGTGTAAGGTAAATCCATACCCTGACTGTTAAAAAAAAGATTGGGCTTTTCTAGTGTGCATGTCCTGAGCTCCAGGACATTTTACCCCGTTCCTGACCAGGCCATTTTTTGCTATTTGATACTGCACTACTTTAACTGACAATTGTGCGATCATGAAATGCTGTACCCAAATTAAATTTTATATATAATTTTTTCACACAAATAGAGCTTTCTTTTGGTGGTATTTTAATCACCGCTGGATTTTTTTTTTTTGTATAATGTAGATGAAAAAAGACCAAAAAAAAACAACCCAAAAAACACGATATTTTAAAGTTTCTGCAATAAAGTATACCCCAAAAAATGTTTTAAACAATCACATTTCTTTATAAATTTAGGCCAAAATGTATTCTGCTACATATTTTTGGTTAAGTATATACTGATTGTTTTGCGCTAAAGTTATAGCGTCTACATACGATGGTATATATACTGGAATTTGTATTTATTTTTATACTAGTAATGGCAGTGATCAGCGACTTGTAGCGGGACTGTGGGCAATCTGACACGTTTGATACTTTGTGACAACCAGTGACAATACTGCCGTGATCAGTGCTAATAATATACACTGATACAGTACTAATGACACTGACTTGGGCAGTCAAAGGGTTAATTGTGTGCCTAATAATGCTTGGTGTATTTACTGTGTTGTGATTTTACTAAGGGATGTGCCAGTTTTTATTCCCTGCCTTGCAGGGAAACAAAAACCGGCTCGCCCCCATTGGCAGGACAGAGCTCTGTGTTGTTTACAATCACAGAGCTCTGTCCTGTCATCCTCTTTGCCGATCAGCAGTTCCCGGCCATCAATCATCTAATTGATGATTACTTAAATGATATTACTAATCACAACACATCTGGGGCAGCGAGCTCGCACTCCCCCAACCCGGAACAGCTGGGTCACGTGTTAAATATGTAACCCAGCGCATGAGAGACGTTCTGCTGTCGGCAAGCAGTTGTTCAAAGTTGTTAACTTTGGGTATTAAAGGTGAACTCCACTGAAATTGAAATATCATGAAAGCCCAACTCCAAGAGAGTAAAAAAAAAAAAATATGCCTTGCAGTGGGGCTCTGCCCACACTACAAGGGTTGATTGCTTGTTTATGCCTGGAGAACAATAAAGGGAGACTTACTTACCCTATCCTGTGCTCCTCCTTGCAGCTAGCCCAGTCGCCACAGCTTCTGCATCCCCACGCTCTACCAATCTATAGTCCTAATGTCATCAAGAACAGAACAGGACTCATAGCCCTGCTCTGGATACAGAGGGACAGTCCAATTGGATCATCCAGCTGGATTGTGGGGGAGCACCACCTGCCAGGGGATTGGATGATTAGATACAAAAACTTTTTTCTCTCCCCTAGACAAAATGATCAGTTAACTCTTGAAGTGCGGTTACAAGCCCACTGCAAGGAATCATTTTTTATCTGCTTGTTAGGCTTTAAATAGACTTGTTAACAGCAAGCAGTGTGAGTACACGAATTTGACTTGGTATCGGTCTCTTGCAATCCCTGTGCAGCAGAGCAAGTGAGAGGGAGGGAGGAGCATCACATGAGGCCAGTCAGGCATGTTACAGTGAAAGATGAATGCTGATAGGAGGAGAGTGACAGAGAGAGGATATAATCTTTGTGATGCTTCTCCTTTTACAGTCCAGTTACATGGTATGGAGAGAACCTGTAAGTGAAAGTGAAACTGTAGCAGAGAGACTGGATTCCCTCCCTGCCAGACAGGACTGTGTGGCAGAGCTGTGTAGGTCTGGATAAACCGTAATTCAAATCTACTTGGCAGGTAAAAACTGTTCACATATATATATTTCATCAGGTTGTATATCCGTTATCGTATTTCAGTTAGCACCAGGTGACTTTTAATGCCAAAGCTGCTTCTATGCAATAATGAGAAAATTCACTCAATTTACACTTTTTCAGCTGTGCATTATCTCTTGCTGCTAGATCAAGCTACTTTTCCCAGTGACCCACAACAAAAACGACAAGTGTTGCTCAAGGCTCCAACAGGTCTTCTTGTATGACAAACCACAAGGAGTGCCGACAAGGACAGAGCTTGTCCCAGCTCAAAGCATTCAGTAGCGAAAGAGAGTCCTAGAAGTCACACAAAACTGTGTAAGGAAGCCTCAGCTCAGGCTTCAACCATACCACACTACCAACACTTTCCACTCCACCCCCAGAGCTTAATCATGGGGAACTGGTTGGAGGTTGGAATGGTTGGAGTCCAGGCTGAGGCTGTCATACACTTCCTTACAGGGTTTTGTTGAGATTTGCGACT